AACAGACCCCCATAAGTCCGATAGGTGTACATAATAGCTAAATCTACTAAGAACAAGTCACGGTGAGTCAAGATCTAGTCAAGGCGTAGCCCATACCTCAAACCAAAATAACCTCCAAGTAACCAATAAGAGCCTCCTAAAGATAAGGAGTATAGAGCATGAACCTCAAACCGCAAGTGGTCTCTTAAGGGGAAATAGGCTGAAGCTAGAGTGTATCAACACCTTAGAGGATAAAGGGAACAATGACTAGACCTTGAATCATCAATTATAATAGCTTCCAAAGGACCTCATATAAATTCATCATCACAGAGCCACTGTGGAATGACATCTACAGGTAGAGAATCAACACAATATGCCAAGCTCAAACCAACTCCAATGCCCAATCGCGAAGCGAAGCTTGAAATCAAAAACTCAATCCACGGGGCCATAGTAAGAGAGAGAGTGGATAGAAGATGATTAAACTTGATTCCTCACCTAATCTAAGTCTTATTTCTATCAAACTCAAGTATGCTACACAAGTCCATAGGGAGATAAGCATCTGAAATGATGTCGAAACAAAATTAGGCCAAACGGCTCTAAATATAGCACGACTATGGCTAGAACTATTCTAAGCCTAAACTAAGGTAAAAAATGCTCAAACAATTAACAATAACAACAATTGAGGCCAACCAAAAGGTAAGGGTGATTAAATACCACAATCAACATGTTCCTAATCTTGAAAACCATAAAATATGCCTAAAACATGATATCTAACAAACTAGCATGATCACCTAGGTTTCCATCCCAAATTCACACAAATAAATATAATTTCACATATTCAAGCTCAATCTAAGGAATTGAAAGTCGTAACCTACCTTAAGGCTAACCATAATTGGGGGTTTAGAATAGTGGAAACCAACACCATGCTACAATTCAACTTTATAGAACAACAAACAAGCTAAGGTTGTCCCAAAATAGAGGAAAATACCACAAATTAAGATTCTCTAACACTTCCCAATAACAGAACCACGTAGCCTCGAACTTTCCGAACATAGTGGACTTCAAATAACCCAAATTTGAGATATATCAGAGGAGAAATTAACAAAGGAAAATTACAATTCCTTTTTTATCAGGTCTAAAAGTCATATTTTAAAGGTTCCTATATGTGTTTTGCCTATACATTGACTTCGCACTTGGAAAGTAAGTCCATGAGAATTCTTTCAAAATGCATAATTTTGGAAAAGGTTTTTTGAAGGACAAAAGTGGTTTCATATGCATTATTTGTTAATTGAGGATAAAAGAACATAATTGATTCATTTTTAAAAAAAAAGAATTTTAGTAAAGTAAAGTGGAGTAAAGGTAAGTTCTCTAAAATAGGACTATTGAGCATTAGTGATATTGATTTTTTGGGGAGTAGTATTGAGCACTGAATTGGGTAAGAGTCCATTTTAATTAACAGCCCCATAAAATACGTAGTCAGTGTAGGATAGGATCGTACCGACTTTTGGGTGACTCCTCACCACCGTTTTGTAAGACATATTGTATAGATCCATAGTTATAGTTAGCATCATGTACCTCGGAAAGGTATAGGATGGTCCTATCAATATCGGTGGAATGTTGGATCATTGCTAGGCTCATAGTGACGGTTGTCGGTTAGACAAGTTCCCTAACAGAGTAAAGTTTTTTATTTTCATCTTGATTTCATTGCATATCTTATTGTAAAGGAACAAATGGTTTTCATTACTTGTTCACATCTTATTTTCCTTAAGTTAAATCCAGTTATCAGTTCAATAATTGATTTATTTAGCCATACTACATACCATACATTGAATGTACTGATGTCCTTCAACCTGCATCATGTCATGATACATATATATGTGTTCAGGATCATCAATAGGCGCTCTGTTGATATCACTCCACTTTTCAACAGCTTTTGGTGAGACCTCCTTACTTTCGGAGGACTCTAGATGATTATTTAGTTTAGTATTGATTTAATTTGAGGTGTTGTGAGTCTTTTCCATCACCTATATTGGTATTTTAGAGGCTTCATGGATAGAAAAATTTAGATTGTTTCTAGTATTTTTCTCAGATGTTTTATTAAAACTTATCATTTATGTCAAGTACTTTCAAACAATGTTTCATAGTTTTCTTTATATGATTGAAATGCTCATCTAATAAAGCTTTGTGTATACCATAGAGTCACGTGAATCATAGTTTAGCCTATCCAAGGGTTTATTTGGTGCCAGCAACAGTCTTTGAGGGCCAGTCACGTCCAGGGTGTAGGCTCGGGGCATGACATGAACAGAACAAGAGAACAAATTTGTTTCATTTAGGCTCAAAATTATGGAACAGTGAATTATTTAATCATTTTGGACAATCTTTTAAGTCAAGTGGTTTGAATTCAAAAATAGTTTATCATCCTTTTCTAATCCACTAACCTACAACCAACACATGATGATTCAAGACAAGTTCTAGATGCATACACAAATATTTAATGATGCAGAAAATGCTCACATCCACATGGCATAGAACTGCACTATCAATTCCTGATATCAAGTTTTATGCCTACATATTAAGCATAGTTGTCGCATTCATATGCATACAATGCCATACATAGATCCTAAACAATAATTAAAATAAAAGATACGTTGATGTCATACAAAATATAACACATATTGTCTATCTTTACTGTAGCAACTATTTTTTCATTCTTATAGAAATATGTCTCGACAATAATTATAGTACTAGGAGTAGGTTATATATCAGTTAGGCCCTAGGCTTCAGAGTCTGGAAATGGTGCAAAGGCTTTTGTATCTCCCGAAACATGAATATTGGTGGTGGTGGTTGGCACATGCAATGAGACCTCAAAAATCTCCTCAGATAGTGGTGATGTAGTAGTTAAAGTTTGAGACTCCATCACAACATCAACTCCACTAATAAGTCCTACCTCTGCTGGCACTGATCTGTAAGAAGCTTCACTCATACAAGCTCTTAACACAAATGACCTCAGCTGCTCATCAACCCTCGACCTCCTCTGAGCTTCCAATATATCTTCCTACTCCCGGTCTCTATTCATGTGTTTTCTGTTCTTTGATATATTGCTCTTCTTATCTTCCACACAAGGGCGCTTGCCCGAGGCTTTAGGAAGCAAACTTAATAAGTCAACAGCTGACTCCTCCCTCTCCAATTCCACATTATCTGGAATTGATAACTTCTTTGATGTCTGCTCTTTTCTATGTATGAGCTTAAAATTCCAAAGGTAAAAAAAGGATTGTACTGGAGTCCTTGATGCAGAATCTCCCGAATCCATATGGTGAAGTTCATATAAATCTTCATTTTGTCCTTTTCTCTGGCAATAATTTTTTTACAAAATCATAACAATCAAATAGTGAAAGGACAATGAACATGGAAACAACAATAATAATACCAATATATAGAGGAACTATATGTTTCATTGTGACTTCCTTAACTTTACTTACCAATATTTGAAGGGATGTCACATTCAGATAAGTAGTTAATGTCTCCCCGATTTTTTAAGTAAACCCCTTGCAAGATTCAGTACATGTTCCAACTACATAATGTTTGATCAACTTGTTAGCGCGAATATGTGGTTTACCTCTCGATGTCACCTGCAAATTAGAGTATTTTAATGACCAAGCATACATAAAGTCAATCTCATTGCTTATTCTAATATAATTTCTTGAGCTAACCTGCAATGTTTCTTCACTTTGGCTTAATTTCTTCTTTGTTTCACGAACTTTTCCATATACAATAAAGTTATAAACTTCAATCAAAGACCGAAACTTTTTGTTTGTCTGCAAATGATGGGAGACCTGTTTTCCAACAATTATTAAATTTTTTTGATGTCACAATCTCATCAAAGAAAACTTATTTTATCAAAAATTATTTGCAGGAAAACATGTATATTAATTTAAAGGAAACTTACGTAATTGATAATTGAACTACATGGACGAGAAGTATTCTTGATGATCCAGTTTTGTCTTCTCTGTTCAAATGTATAAGTAAGCATGTAATGCATATTTTTTTGTATCATCTCATTATGCAACCAAAAAAAGTTGTATATATGGAATCAGAAATTATCCAAAATCTATTCTCAACAGGTAATTATTTGGATTAAGTGGGGAGCATTAATATTTTTTACATAATGTGGTACACACAAGATATTGGAGTATCAATATCTTATATTATAAAGGATCATAGTTTTTCCAACACAATACGATAGAATCTATTTCTTCTCAATATGTTAATTGTTTTTTTGGTTTATTCTGTTTTTATTTTTCCCATTTCTATTTCTTTTATTTATAGAAAAAATGACTAACTTCTACTTCTACCTATATTGCTAGGCCAGACCTTATACAAAAAATTTTTAATCAAATTATGTAGCTATCTCAATGATGGTTGTGGCTATGCATCTCCAAAGATTCACTAAATAATTGGATGTGAGATGAAAACTTCCATCCTAAATCAAAATTTCATTTCTAAAAAATTCTTTTTTGGGAAAATAAATTTTGAAAGCTTCTCTTTCTAAGGAAATTGTTTAAAGTGATCGCAACCTCTGGATTTATCAAAAAAGTAAATTTATTTCCACCATAGGAATGTTATTTCTCTTTCCATTTGGTCAAACCTAAGATGATTGATCTCATCCACAAAAAAAATAATCATGAAAAGCTTAGATCAATCTTGAAGAGCTTAAGATACAATAAGCTCCAGTAAAATATAACTGAAGGAGTCTGAGATAATAGTTTCCAGAGAATAAGAACGATGGACTAATAGAATTACAACTTTTTAATAGAGTAACAATCCCACTAAACCACTAACTAAATCCATTAACCTAACTCTCCTAAACTTTAGGGAAAGCTATCTCCTACTCTAGAAAATAATAGAAACCCATGTACTAATAAAATATCAAACTAACAACTAAGCTAAGAAATAGCTATACTATAGAATTTGTCAAATTAAACTAGGAATGATGTTGTCAACTTTAACACCCTTTCTCAACATCAACTCTCCGTCTTAATCATGCCTAGCTGCTTGCAGAAACTCTTCAAGTTGTTGACACTAAAACCTTTGGTGAACAAGTCTGCAATTTGATGTTCCGATTTGATGTGCTCCAAGCCAATCTCTCCTTGCAACACTTTTTCCCGAATAAAGTGGTAATGTATCTCCACATGTTTAGTCCTTGCATGGAAAACTAGATTTTCAGACAAGCAAATTGCTGAATGATTATCACAGTACAAAGGAACTGCATAGCCTACTGGTTGTCTTAGATCCTTCATCAACTACATAAGCCATGTACTTTCCTGAGCTGCAACTGTTGCTGCCCGATACTCTGCTTCTGTTGTTGACAGCGACACTGTTGCTTGCCTTTTGCTGCACCAAGAAATCGCTCCAGTTCCATGCTTAAACACAAAGCCAGTAGTTGAACGACGGGTATCATGGTCTCTTCCATAGTCAGAGTCACAGTATCCGATCAATTTGCATTCTTCACCTTTCTTAAACAACATACCATAGTCAATTGTACTTTTTACATATCTCAAGATTCGATGAACTCCATCCAAATGAGACTTCTTTGGATTTTGCATGTAACAACTCATCACACCTATTGCATAGGAGATATCGGGTCTTGTTAAAGTTAAGTAAATCAAACTACCCACCAATTGCCGATACTTTGTTGCATCTTCCAAGTCTTTCCCTTCATGAGAACACATCTTAACATTTGGATCCAGCAGTGTTGAGGTTGGTTTGCAATTGAACATTCCAAAATTCTTCAATAGATCTTTTGAATATCTTTGGTGATGCAAGCAAATTCCTTCTTCACTGCGATCAACCTCCAAGCCAAGAAACTAGTTAAGATGTTCGAGTTCCTTCATCTGGAAGCGTACTGACAAATTCTCCTTTGTTCGCAGAATTTCTTCTTCACAATCTCCTGTTAGGATTAGATCATCCACATATACTAGCACAATAGCTAGTTTTCTGCCAACAATTTTCACAAATAGGCTGGAATCTGACGGTGCTACTGAAAAACCACTATGAGTAAGAAATTCATAAATGTCACCATACCATGCCCTTGGCGCTTGCTTTAATCCATAGAGCACCTTTCGAAGCTTACACACATACATAGGATAATCGTGACTCTGAAAACCCATTGGTTGTCATATGTAAATCTCTCGATCCAACTCTCCATGCAAGAATGCATTCTTTACATCCATCTGCCATAGGTTCCAATCTTTACTAGCTGCAAGCGCAAGTAAAACCTGGAAAGTAGTAAGCTTTGCCACTGGACTAAACGTTTCATCATAGTCTAGTCCATATTGCTGAGAAAAACTCCGAGCTACAAGACGAGCTTTGCGCCTTTCAATTGATCCATTTGTGTGACGCTTTATCTTGTAAATCCATTTACAGAAAATAGGTTTGACATCCCTTGGTTTTGTCACGAGCTCCCACATTTGATTCAATTGTAGTGCAGCAATTTCCTCCTCCATAGCTTTAATCCACTTTGGATTCTGGAATGCTTCCTCAAAAGTTTCTGGTTCCTTTTCACTTTCATCTTCTACAATGGCAACATTGACGAACTTGGGATTTTGCTTTCTGATCCTTGTTGACCTTCTGAGTGGAGGTGGTGAATCTGCTCTAATTAGCTCACCTTCTTCACCTGGTTGTTTGTACATACCAGTTTGCCACGGATTTTGAGCCACGACTTCATCAACATTGTCTTCATTAGCTTCACCTTCAGCTCCATCTAGACTCAATTGGACATGGGAACAACCTAACACATACTTGAAGACATTTGAATCTGGCAACAATTCCTTATTTGAAGACCACCGGAAGAAGCTTCATCAAATGTCACATTTCGAGAAGTGTAGCACTTCCCTGTTGTTGGATCACAACATCACCACCCTTTTCGTTGACTGTCATACTCTACAAAGATACTCCTAACAACCTTTTTGTCCATTTTGCTATGTAAATGATTAGGTACAAATACATAGCATACACATTCGAAAACACGAAAATAGTTAACAGAGGATTTCATGTTCCACAACTTCTCAAAAGGTGAAAGAAAATGTAACCTTTGTTGAGGAAGTCAGTTGATCACAAAAGCTGCAGTCTTCATAGCTTCCGCCAAAATTGTCCCGGGATATTTTTTGCGTGAAGCAGGCTCCGACAGATTTCTGCTAGGTGTCTATTCTTCCTTTCTGCTATGCCATTTTGTTGTGGCATATTTGGACATGTGAACTGATGGCGTATTCGACACTTTACAAGGAATTCAGAAAATTCATGTGAGGAATATTCCCCACCATTGTCAGTTCGTAGACAAAGAATTTTATTACCAACTTCTCCTTCAGCAACCTTTTTGAATTCTTTGAATTTTGAAAATACCTCAGACTTCTCCTTTAAAAAATAAATCCACACGTACCTGGAAAAATCATCAATGAATGTCAACATATATTTCATCCCACCAACAGAGAGTTGCTTGACAAGACCGAACACATTTGAGTGAATTAACTCTAATGGTTCCTTGGCTGTATATTTCGAATCCTAATACGGCAACTGATGCGCTTTACCATACTGACAACTAACACATATTACATCCGTACTTACTGGAAGTTTGGGAAGACCCTTCAACATTGACTTTTCCATCATGAGTCTAAGTTTAGAGTAGCTAACGTGACTCAACCGCATGTTCCATAAGTCTGCCGTCTCATTCTTCCTTGTCTTGTCTATATATGTGGTTTCTGCCGACATTACATAAATAGAGTTTAACCTTTTCCCCTTCATCACTGGCTCTTCTTTAACCTCAAGATCACAGTATATTCTTACATCTTGCGGACCAAATAGAAAATAATGACCCGAAGATGTCAATTGAGATACTGAAAGAAGATTTTACTTCATACCTGGGACATGATAAACATTTTGAAGCAGCATCATATCAACACAACTATTTGGAGACACAATAGTCTTACCAATGTGAGCTATCGGTAATTTTGTGTCATCTGTTGTCACGACTTCACGACTTCCCTTGTACTCTGACAAATTTTGCAGCTTCTTTTTGTCACCAGTCATATGGTTTGAGCATCCCGAGTCAAAAATCCAGTCATTCTCATAGTCAATTTGTTTAGAGGTTGTTACTGTAGGAGCTAGCTCTTCTTGTTCTATTGCAAAGAATGCTTCAGCATCCCAATCATCTTCACTATTTTCCTTTGGACCGGAGGTAGCAGCAGCAGCGTTGCTCTCAACCGTCCTCTTTTTGAACCAGCAAATATTGGCTTTATGTCCCTTGTTCCCACAGTTATGGCATTTCCCTTCAAACCCCTTGTTGTTGCCCCAATTGTTTTTCGAACTTCCCGTTGGACGAGATCTTCCTTCTCCTTGATGACTTTTTGACTTATCATCAGTTCTTTTTGATCCACCAGCATTGTACTTCTTGGAGTTCCCTCTGCTTTTGTTGACGTAGAGTGCTTCTTCCTCGCCTTTAAGAGAGACTCAGCTCATTTGCTTAGCCAAGGCTTCTTGACCTGCTAGCAAATTCTCAAATTCTACAAGTGATGGCTGATTTTGCCATCCTTGTACAGCAGCAATGAAGCTTCTATATTCAGTCTTCAGACCATGGATTATGATCCGCTTCATCCTCATCTCTTCAATTGGAGCTTGTGGATCTAACTCTGAAATCTCTCGACATAGCATCTTCACCTTATGAAAGTATTGTGCAATTGTCATGTTGCATTGTCCTATCGAGAGTAATTCACTCTCTAAGAGTTGGAGCCTTGTATCATTTTTCTTTGAAAATAGATTGGCGAATGTATCCCAAGCCTGCTTTGGGGTGGTGGCATCTCGTATGTGCTCTAGCATATCCTCTTCGGCCGTTGTTTTCAAAGCGAACATAGCCTTACCAGCTTTTATCTTCCACTTTCGCAGAGTGCCATTTGCATCTTCTGTTGCTGGTTGTGTCACCTCGCTACCCTTGACAACCTCCCACAGATCTTGCCCTTGCATATAAGACATTATGCAAGATGACCATGTATTATAATTGCTGTTGTTGAGCTTTTTCATTCCGCCGATGTGTCAGCAACAAAAGTCTAAAAAAAAAACTACAGTAAATGATCTCCCAAGGAACAACCTTGCTCTTGATACCAAATGAAGAACTTAAGATACAATAAGCTCGAGTAAAATATAACTGAAGGAGTTTGAGATAATAGTTTCCAGAGAATAAGAATGATGGATTGATAGAATTACAACTTTTTTATAGAGTCACAATCCCACTAAACCACTAATTAAATCCACTAACCTAACTCTCCTAAACTTTAGGGAAAGCTATCTGCTACTCTAGAAAATAATAGAAACCCACGTACTAATAAAATATCAAACTAACAACTAAGCTAAGAAATAGCAATACTACAGAATTGGTCAAATTAAACTGGGAATGATGTTGTCTACTTTAACAAATCTGACTAGTACTTATAATTAATTTCCAAACTGGAAAATTTCTATGTTATTCATTGCACTGGTACATGAAATTACTATCTGCAAATATTATTAATATAAGTATCAATTTTAGTGAAAAATAAAAATTATATACATTTCATAGAGGGATGAAATAAGGGAAGATAATTTGAAATGGATTGGTCATGTGATAGGTTATTTTATATATTGATTAATCAATCCATTTGTGTAAAATTATGGTAAGGGGAGGTGTTAAATCTCATATGGAAGAAAGTTTTCTCAAAAGACATCATTTCTTAGCATGAATTTCACAAATTTCATACATTCACCGATATCACCTTTCTCCATCGATTATCAATTACCATTATCATCGCCCAACATTATTAATCACCGCCATCAACAACTCACAACTACTATCCTCAACCATCACCACTATCAATCACTAAAATGAATCAACAATAACAGTAGCTACTATTTACAATTATTATTGACAATAAATTTTGAAGAGCAAATAGATACGAAAAAGAAATTACAATCATTTTTAGGATTAGTAAACCAAGTGAGAATATATACCTAACTTAGCAGAAAATTTAAAACCCTTGCATAAAAAACTGAAGAAAGATGCCGAATATTATTTTGATAAAAAGGATCAGGACCAAATACAAAAAATAAAATTATTATGTAAGAAATTACCCAAATTATATTTTCCAGACGAAAATAAATTTTTTTATACATAGTAGAATCAGATGCAAGTGAAATAAGTTATGGAGGAGTATTAAAATATAAATATGATAAAGAAAAAATAGAACATCATTGTAGATATTACTCAGAAACATTTACAAATCCCGAAATAAAATGGGAAATAAATAGAAAAGAATTATATGCTCTATATAAATGTTTATTAGCTTTTGAACCATACATCGTATATAATAAGTTTATTGTAAGAACATATAATACGCAGGTAAAATGGTGGATTACAAGGAAGTACAAGATTCAGTAACAACCAAAGAAATACGAAGACTAGTATTAAATATACAGAATTTTACATTTACAATAGAAGTAATAAGTACTAACAAAAATGTCATTGCAGATTACATTTCAAGACAAAGCTACACAGACGGATCTAGATGAAGAAAATACTATTGAAAAGATACTCAATACTATGACACTACTTTGTACAAAGGTAGATAGCCTTGATAAAGAGCTACAACAAATGAAAAGTCAGCAGCATGACAATAAATATGCGGAGCTAAGTCAATCGGAAGACTTG